GATGCTTAACGACGGAGCCACCCAGGTGCCCAGCAAATGTCTCTTTTTATGACATTACACTGCTCCAGGGTCCCTTCTCCAAGTCTCTCTTCTGTGGCTTGGGGTGTTGGTGGTGGCTAGGCTAGTTTTTGTGAGCAATCATCACCCAATAATCAGAGAGGGAGACAGAGAGAGAAGGAAGTGGGGAGAGGAGGAGGAGGGAGGAGGGAGGGGAGAGTTGGAGGGGGAAGGGAGAGGGGAAGGAGGGAGAAGAGAGAGCAGGGGGGAGGAGGGGGAGGATATCCGTGCGTTCAATGCCCACGACAATACCCTCGTGGTTGTTCCTGGCTGTTGTGTGCGCTCTGAGCTTTTCCTGAGTTTTCCTCTAAGGCTTTCTGCCTCCCAGGCCACTTCTGCCGCCTGGACTGGGAATCGGGCTGCTCTGCCAGCTGGTCCTGCCCTCAGCACGCCTTCAGAACCCTGTCGGTTTCAAGTTCTCAATTACATGGAGTAAAGCCTCAACGCCGCCGGCTTCTGGGCTCATTTCCCTGACCATCACAGGGCTCCAGCTGAGCTGCTACTTGCTGCCGCCACCACCCCATCGCAGGAGCCCCTCCAGCCCTGAGTGTCTCCGCACACCCGAGGATGGGAGCAAGAATGAGCATGTGTAAGGAAGACAAGTGTGTGCCCCACGCTGTGCTGGGCCTTTGCAGCTCTGGCACGGCTTCAGGGAGTGGTTCTCATGCACGGACTGCGCCTCCCCACCATCCAGGTTTCTGCTCAAAGGTCACCTCCACAGGGCAGCCCTCCCTGATTGCCGCGTCTGAATAGCCCCCTTGGTCACTTGCTAGCATGTCTCACTCTGTTAATTTCCTTCATTGCCACCACCATCTGACTTGGTCTTGTTTCCCGTTGGCTTCCCCCGTCACACATGAGCAGCATGATCCAGAGACCCCATCTGTCTTGTTCATCCCAGGTCCTGGGTCCTAGCACTGTGCCTGGTACAGAGTAAATGCCCAAGTACAGTTCGTGGTTCAAGAATGAACTGCCTGGGAGGTATAAGCCCACCTCTCTGTTTTAGCAAGGAGGGCATGAGGCTCAGAGAAGGCAAGTGACTTGCTCCAGGTCACACAGCCAGTGAGGAGCAGGGCTGGGATCTGAACTCTGCTGGGCTGAATCCAAAACCTGTTCCTTCCCAAAGGCCGAGGAAAGGAAAAGAGAGACTCTAGCCACCAAGCAGCCTCCATGCTTGCTGTAGAGAGACCCCAGGCTGACTCCTGGGAGAGGTGTCTTCATGGTGTCACAAAAGAAAAACTGCTCATCTCTTTTGTGCACCAACTATGTGCCCCCCGCTGCACCAAATCCTTTTAGTATTTTGGTGATAACAGTTATAGCAGCTCAGGGAGGGAGAAATTATTTGAGACAAGTAGCAAGTTAGAAGGGTAAAGACTCCAATTCCACTTTCTCCAATTCCACTGTGATGTGTGGAATCTTCTGGAACTTTTTCGCTGCACATGCAAACATGCGTGCACACACACACACACACACACACACACACGCTCATAATTTTATATGTAGACAGGGACATTATTCACATATCACTCAGAGTTGTACTTTCTCCTATCCTCTCGGCCTGTTTCTGATAGAATGCTTGCAATGCTCTCTGAGGTTTTATCAAGCCCATTTTACAGATGTGAAGACTGACGCTCAGAGGGGTGACGGGCCGCACCTGAGCCTGGCGACTCACAGTGACTGCCAGCTCTGGTCAGACACACACTTGTCCACTGCCTGACTCTGGGTGTGGGTGGAAGGACAGCCAGCCTCTGCCTTTCTGTGTGTGGCTCCCCTCCCTCCAACGCTGGCTGGGGGCCATTCCATAAGGCAGGCTTGTGTCATTTGGCAGCTGAGACATTCCTTGTTGGATGAGAAACCACTGGGGACACTCCAACCACCTCTGACTCAGAGCAGAAAGTCCCCACTTGAGGCTTCCTGCCTCCCACACTGGGTCTCTTGCTTCCTTTCTGCTTCCTGTCACCCGATCCAAGATGTGAGGAGTCCTGGATGGATGGATCCTGTCCTTCCACGACCACAGAGGCCTGTTGGGCTTTGAGTCCTCGGATGCAGTGGAGCAGTCTTCAATACCTGCTTCTGGACTGAATATCGGAACAAATTTTGCCACCTTGGCTGGCTCCTTGAAGGGCGTGTCGACTGCAATCACAGTGTGGGTGTCGATGGAATAAAGCCATACTCACTTGTGCCCACTGCTGGGCATATTACCCCATGACTGTGGGGCCCTTTCAACAACACTTCCCACTCCCCCTCTTCATTCAGGACCCGCTCAAAGGTCACCTCCCCCTGGAAGCCCTCATGTCACAATCACTGTCTGATACATTCTTGATCATTTGTTCAGTCCAACAAGATATGAACTGTCTCCCCACTAGATATGAACCCTTTGACAGCAGGGATGACGTCTGCCCTGCTCACTGCTGCATCCCTAGCATCTAGAATAGTGCCTGGCACACAGTAGGTGCTCAATAGACACACAGTAAGCAAGGAGATTTTCCTCCTTGCTTGACGAATGAAAAAACCGAGGGACAGACTGGCTAAGTTTCCTAGGAGGTACATTGCTGAGCCTGACTTGGGTCTCTTACATCAGTGCGTCTCAAACTTTGACGTGCACGGGGTGAAAACATGAATTCTGATTCAGCTGGTATCCCCATGATCTATTGCTGTATAACAAACAGTCCCCCAAACTTGGTGGCTTAAAGCAAGGACCACTTCATCTTTTCTTGTGACGCCGCATGGTGACCGGGCTCAGCCAGCTGGTTCCGCACCGTCATCTGGGCCTGAGCTCATCTGGAGGCCCACCTGGGCTGGAATGTCCAAATGGCTCCTTCCTGTAGCTGGCAGTTGTTGCTAGCAGTTTGCTGGGAAATCAGCTGGGGCTGTCAATCGGAGGTGCCTAAGAGTGGGGTCCTTCCATGTGGATTGGGCTTCCTTGCAGCATGGCAGCCTGGCTCTGAGGGGATGCATTCTAAGAGCAAACGTCAGTGTGGGCTGCTGGCCCTGTTTCTGGCCTATAACTGGCAGGGCCCAGCCTCTCCCACGCGCTACTGGTTAAGTAGTCCCAGGCCTGGTGGGATTCAAGGAGACGGGACCTAAATCCCTCCCCTTACTGGGGACAATAGCAAAGCAATTACAGCCATGTCATTGTGGGTCTGGGTTCGAGCCTGAGATCCTGCAGGGGTCCAAGATGCTGCTGGTAATGCCAATACTGAGGGTCTAAGGACTACATTCTAACTGGTCAGTTCTTAGAGCTCAGGGCTACGTAAGTCCCTTTCTTCCCTGAGTAGTTAATGAGCACCTACTGTGTGCCAGGATTCACCTTCCCCTGTGCTGTCACATTGAATTACTTTGCTGTGTGGCTCGAGGGAATTTCTCTGGACCTTTATTTCCTCCTCTATCCTCCTGCTTCTCCCCAGACCTATGTGGCCCTGGCCCTGGCCCTCCTCTGGATGGAATGTTAGCAAGTAGATCCATGGATCCAGTGCAGCAGAGGAGGAGGGAACTCTAGGATGGCCACCGGCAGCTGGACCAGGTAGGGCTGGAAGGAATGTGTGGGTCAGGGACAGGAAATGCACACATCCTGTCATTGCAGGAGGAATGTCCCTTCTAATCCTCTTGCTCAGCAGGCCCATCCTTCAAACTCACCCTCACCTTGGGATTTGACATGGGGAGACCTGGTTAGGTCGGGGTGGGGGGGATTCCTCACTCCAGAATCAGGACAGGATCTGAGCAAGAGGAGTCCTCTCTCAGGCCCTCATCTGACATCCCATTTCCCAGAAGGCAAGACTGAGCCCAGAGAGGGCCGGGAAGGGACAGAACTGCGTGCAGGGTCTCCCAGCTCTGTCTGGGCCCCCTGCAGACTTACCCCCTCGCCTCCAGGTGCCTTCTTCCCACTGGGCCCTTTACCCCCTGAGTCTGATGCAGGTAACCCCCAGCCAGAAGGGCTTCTTTTTTCTGCCCCCAGCGGTCTTGTGTCAGCCCAGGCCCTAGGCTGCTTGGAGGCAGGACTTGAACTCCTGCCAGGCTGTGCAGCCCGGAGGCCCAAGGCTTCCTGATTCTGCGCTGGGAAATGGTGCATGCCTCTGACCTGCCTCGTACATGGAGAGGAGCCCCAGAGATGTTTTGGGACTAGGCTTGGCCGGACTGTGCCCCCATGGCACCTGAACTCTCACGTTCAAGCTCTTCCCTGCTTCAACCTGCTGGCCTTGAAAGAACAGGGGTGGCTGTTAGCTTGCCCATCCCTGCAACTCCCCACCCATGTGGGAGGTGCTGAGTTCTGAAGATCCACACCCACACCATGTGACCCTGGACTTGTTCCTCTCTGTGTCCTGCTGGCTCGGTCTTCAGGTCTTGGGCGGCTGCCACGTGGGGAGGAGGCAGACTGGTGTGCCAGCATTGGCTGACCCAGCTAAGCCCAGCCTCCCCTGGTTAGGAGGTCAGGGGCCAGGAACAAAGACATGCCAGGAGGAGGACAGAGGAGCTTGGGTGGAATAAGTCCATCCAGACAAAAGGTGACAGGCTGGGGTTGGCAAAGCTGAATGTTCTGGTCTGGGGTGGGGAGGTGCACTGCCCCAGGCAGAAGTGGCTCCTGGGATCCAGCTGGCTGGGGGGTGATGATTTCCTTGTAACTGGAGCTCCTGGCAACCTCCCACCAATTCTGTTTGGGTATTTCTTCATCAGTCTCCCTCCCTCCCTTCTCTCTCTCTCTCTCTCTCTCTCTCTCTCTCTCCTTCTTTTCCCTCCTCCATCCCAATATCTCCCACTCACTCTGCCTCTCCTCTGGAATTCCCTATATTCTCTTCCCTTCTCTGAGCCACTGTTTGCCCAGTCCTTAACACCCACCATTCTTGCCCCTCCCCGTCCCTGTCCCTCCCAATCTGGGCCCTCTCCCTCTGTGAGCTGTGCTGCTCACCTTCCGCCCTTGTCTTCACCTCAGGACAATCTCTGCCTCCAGGATGCCGCAGCTGAGCCTGTCCTGGCTGGGACTCGGGCAGGTGGCAGCCTCCCCATGGCTGCTCCTGCTGCTGGTGGGGGTCTCCTGGCTCTTGGCTCGCGTCCTGGCCTGGAGCTACAGCTTTTATGACACCTGCTGCCGCCTCCGGTGTTTCCCGCAGCCCCCGAAGCAGAGCTGGTTTTGGGGTCACCTGGGACTGGTGAGTGTGGGTGGCAGGACGGGCCTGGGGCATCGGGGTGGAGGCACTTTCCCAGGGTGGGGAACAGGGACCTGGGGTGGGGCTGGGGTCTGGGACAGCAGAGAAGGGCTGCAAAGAGCCAAGTTCCCCGGTGTCCCCACAATCTTGCCAGGGGCCACCGTGCAGGGTCCACTCCCTGCCTGGCCCATGTTTGCTGGCCTCAGGCAAACACATCGCCTCTCTGGGCTTTGGCTTCCCCACAGGAATCAGTTCTGACCTCTGCTCCCCTCTCCCGCCATGGGGTGCCGCTGGGCTGGAGGAGAGGGGTGGGCTGTGCGCCCTTTTCTTCTGCCTCCTTTTTGTGATCTTGCCTTTCACTCCCAAGATACATCAACGAGCCCCATTGCCCAACTGGGATAAAAGTTGACCACTTCCCCTTGCAGAAGGAATCACCCTGGCCTTGACCTTCGTGACCAAACCTATT